GGCCCTGTGGTAGTGCAACACTGCACTCGACTCATCAAGCAAATCCGGGTGTGTGTTAGTGGGCGCCGCAGCTTTTCTATGACCTATTGCATGCCTGCATGCCCCAAAGCTGGCATGTATGGTGGCATATGGCTATCAGACCGTCTCGGCGAGGTGAAGAGTTGAATTATTTTCAGCGGAACTTGACAGCGGAACCGGATGCAAGGCCATTCGAGCGCTCTCAGACATATCCTTTCAATGAACCTTTCCAATAATGTCGAACCCGCCTAAAAGCCGAACCCGCTGTAAAGCCAAGGTTCGCCATTGTGGCACTCATCCCTACTTCAGAATCCTGTGACTGTTTCGACCTTCGAGTTTATTGCAAGTTTGAATTCCGGACGCAAAATTCGGCAACGCCCGGGCAAAAAATGGGTGACAAATCCGGGCAAAACATAGGGCATCATGGTTTTGATGTGGTCCCCAAATAGTTTTTGTGCATAAATCCCTCAAAGTTCGGCAAAACGGTCACCCAAAGGGGGTACACCAAAGAGGTCATAGTCTGTTTAAATGTGACTGTCCAGCAATTTAAAAGCCTTGCAAACTCTAAAAATCAGCCTTGGCCTTTTGCTTTTGGCCCAAGTTTACAGGCTTAAAGGCCTCATAGCAGTTTTGGCAGCAGTCCCAAAACCACAAGTTTAGGATAGCTTGTTGAAATAAAAGCAAGGCCCAAAAAAGCCAAGCAGTCACACAAAGCTGATTCTGTTTAACCTGATTGTTTCGCAGTGTCCAGTGTTTTGCCCCAGATAGCTGAAAGCTAGTTGCAGGGTGCTGCTGCAAGGTGCTGTTGCAGGCTGTGACTCGGACTTGCGCAGGCTGCAAGGTGCTGTTGGGGTGCTGCTGCAGGCCGAGACTCAGAGTTGTGCCGGGCGCTGTTGCAGGGTGCTGCCGCAGCAGTTGCAGGGTGAAGCCGCAGGTGCTGTTGCAGGGCTTTTGGAGTGCTGCTGCAGGCCAAGGAGTTGCGCAGCATGCTGCTGCAGGGGGCTGCTGCAAGGTGCTCTGCAGGCCGCTGCTGCAGGATGCTGCTGCAAGCCGGGCCTCCGAGTTGAGCACTGGCGGTGACTCACAAATGAGCACGGTGTAGTTTCAAGGTGCTGTTGCAAAAGGCTGGCGCAGGCTGTGACGCAGACTTGCGCCTTGCTGCAGGCCGAGTCTCGCAGTTGCACACGGTGCTGTTGCAGAGTGCTGTTGAAAGGTGTTGCTGCAGGCCGAAGACTCAGAGTTGCGCAGGGTGCTGTCGCAGGCGGTGACTGAGAATTGCGCAGGGTGTAGTTGAGGGTGCTGTTGCAAAAGGCTGGCTGCGTCTCCGAGTTCCGCAGCGCCAGTGCTGCTGCAGGCTGTGGCTCAGTTGTAGGTGCCTTGCAACAGCAGCAGCTACAATTTTGCGCCGCCTTGGATGGCATGAAAAGCTTGGAGTGCGATTCTGTGCTGCTGGCTGGAAAGCTGCGTTTCGCGCGAGTGATGTCTTTGCTAACGCTGCGTCGCGCGCGTCGCGCTTTTGCTTTAGTCGCATGCCGGAGCAGCGCTCGGCAAAGTTGGGTTTTGGTGTCGAGGTCGTGCTTTCTTGGCTAGAAAGTATGCGCTATGTTTTCATGGAGACTTGTGCGGTATGCTGCTCTCTTGTTGCCGGAAAGCACTGTTGTGCACAGCTTCGTTGGCTGACAACACATTCTCGCTATCTGGGGTCTATGCTGGTATAGTTTTGAATTTGGGGGCGGGGGGGTGGTAAGGGTTGGGGAAATTCCAAGATCAAAACCTAAAGCGTGGTTCATTCCAAGTTCTTCCCACAAGATCTGAGAGTAAGCTTTGGCAACGCTAAGTGTAGAATTGGCAATGCTAAATCAACTAAGCATTGGCAAGTTGAAGTCGCACCTAGACCCCCAGATGTTTTGCTAAAGAGGACCCTGTTGACTGTTGGCACTGTTCAGGGGGACGGGGCCCGGAGAGAGGGGGGTCCTGATTAAAGCTGGCTCAACGTTTTATGTTAGTCTTGAATCTGGCGGGCCCAAGCCTAAGTATGCAACCGAGCTGTTGCTTTTGCCTACTGCGGTGCCTACAATTCAAGGTGTGGAGCGCCTGAGGCGCGAGGCATCAGAGGTAGTGTGTTTCCTTTGATTAGTCGGTTTTGTTTGAAGTGTTGGGAACACGCAAGTTGTGATTTGCGTGTTTGTGCTCTGGCCGAGCGGGGGTTGGCTCCAGAGGTAGTACAAATTCCATTTGGCTTATGAAGCAAATCTGGGTGTTGATTTGTGGGCGGCGCTCTCGCAATTTTCCGCAAGCGGTAGATACCTGTTCTGGTGGCTATCACCGCGCCATAGCTCCATTGTGAGCAATTGCATACATGGCCTGCAGAGAACCGCAAGCCTTTCACATGCTGCTGGCTTGCCACCGGCGCAGCTGTCTCGAAAGCCGTTAGGCTTCGCAATTCGGCTTATTGACGCGCAAACAATAGATTCCTGGGTTTGGCAACAGTGATTAGCACACTCTCTGGAAGTTTCAGGGCAGCCACTATTTGTGCAACGTATGCCTCTTTTCGATCCCACGTTTTGCATTGTTCGAGTCTTCATCGGTTTGAGCAATGAGCAACGCAGCCCCTTACACTTTTCAAAAGGTTTTTTCCCTTTCATTTTGCATTCTGCAAAGTAGCCTCTTTGCATTTACAAGCCTCCTGTTTGCGCAACACAGCATAAGTCACATTGCATAGCACGCATCCCCTTGTTTGCACGGCAATTGTGCGACATGGAGCCTTGTTTAAACAACAGGCTTTGTTTTTGAGACCTAATATCTTGACCAACAACGCTTGTTTGATTCCACAATGGACAAACCCTTTTCTTCTGCAACATCCCTCAGTTTGTTCGCATTTCAACCGCTCATGCATCATTTGTTCTTGTGATGTGCGTCCACAACGTGGTCCTGCGATTGTTGACCAAGTCATTTCTTACTTTAAAAGACTGTGCTTTGTGTTTGCCCCCCTTTGGCAGTAAGCTTCGGGACCGTTCAGATAGTCGCCTTGGTGTGGAAGCTGCCTGATAAAGCTTCGTTCGTGTAACGCAATGATAGCTGGACATTAACAACAAGCACATTGTTACCCCAACGAGGTGGCGGGTACTTTTCCACAATGGAATTGAACACGTTCAGCAAAGTTGCAGCGACTGAAGTTAGTAACTGTACATTCTGACCGTGCAAAGGGCCTGCTGCAGAATGCATGCTGTTCGTATCACAAGAAATCTCAATGAGGGGTTGTAAGCAGAACGGGTTACGGTGCAAGCGAACTCGGGGATGCGTTGTAAAATGATAGGGGTAAGTTTTCAAAGATAAATTGCATATTGTAATAAGCTTTGTAAAACACCGGGGTTTCTTTGTACAAAGTCAAGGGCGAAGTGGACATGTTCCACCAAGCAAGGGGTTATTCTTTAGAAGAAGGTTATTTCGCGCAAGATACACGTTGACAGCTGCGGCGTGATTTCCTTCTCACATTCTCGCGCACATGTTGCAGTGAACAACTCGTAGTGCATCGCCGGAATTCATGGTTGTGGAGCATTGTGCGATCTGGGTTGCGAATTTCGATGATACTTCCAAGGGAACCCCGTTTGAAGCCACGAGCTAGTCATGGGGCTGGCCCACTTTGATATATCACAAGAAGGCTCACTGTCCACGACCAGCGGATGATATTGCACTCTAGGTGATTGACTTTGTTCTGTCGCGAGTCGCAACTGTGTTAGTTGAGCAACATGCACTGACTGGCCAATATCCTGCAACAGCCAACATCACGACGATCGCTTGACAAGGTGGCATTTTTTTCTTTGGGCCCCCAGTAGTTTTTGACAGTAGATGGCCTCGGTGCTCAACGCTTAGAAACTTGAAGCCAATTTAGAAGCGAGCTGCCGTTGCGATGGAGAGGTGATCAGCAAAAAGGCCGAGGGCCGGAGATGGACTTTCGAGCGAGGGACCGAGTTGATCGGTGTACGACGTGTGAAAGCTATCACGCATGATTGATGGTGTTGCTCAACTACAGGCATGACACGTTTCGCTGGGCTGTGTTCTGTTGTGCGAATTTTGCTGGGATTTTGTTTGGCTTGCGTGCCCTGGGGTGGCTCCGCGCAGTTGGTTGGTCGTTCGGGCCAGGCAGGCGGGCACGGATCACCTGGGCCAGTTTTCTGCTAAGATGTCAAGAGCTTCATGCATCACGGGCTAAATTGAGCACGCCTTGGGTTGTGTCGGTCCTGTGGGTTGGAAGCTGGTTTGCTATCAGGCTGAGTGCAAATTCGCTTTCACGTCGCCGGCGGGCATTCAGCAACTCGAACGCCTGTCGGACCTGAGTTTCTTTGCCACACCAGCCAGCAGCGTGCTTGAGGCCCCGCAGGCGGCGGGTGGACCTTTTTTGGGGTTCTGCGTTTGCAGCTCAGCTCAGTTGAGCAGTTGTCTTAGGTGGTGATAGTTTGAGGTAAATCGAGGACACGTTTCAAATTTCGAGGCTTTGCCGCCAAGTTGGTCTTCGCGTGCCACCTTTGCCCTGGGAAGTTGCAACCTCCGAGTCGCAGCTGCCAGGGTGTACTTCTCGTCCGGGGAGCGAGTTGTACGCCCTTCAAGCGCTCCTCTCGAAAGAGAGGCCTGGCGTAAGCAAGTGCCACGGCTGTGCACAAAAATGTTGCTACTGTCCAGCGCCCCCGCGTAAGCTGATTGCGTGCGCTCGCAAGAGCTGGAAAAAGCAAACGGTTATGGCAGAGGAATCTACCAATGTCTTTGGCGTGGCTCCTTTGGTGCTCTGGGAGTGGAGCTGGTGTTCCCTTGGGCCGTGAGCGTCATCATTTAGCGCTTGTGGACAGGGTTTGGCGGGTGTTCCCTTGTGCAGCAAGAGTAGTCACTGCGCCATGAGGACAAGGTCGGGAGCGGGTGGAGCAGGTGTTGCCTTGGACGTGAACGTTTTCAGCCGTTGGCGCCATCTGGTGGATGCTTCTTGTACG